ACACAATCATGATATGCTTGTGTATAAGATAGAGAAATGCTGGCCAGACTCGGGTGTCTGGCCTAATTAACAGGCAAAACTAGTTTAACAGCTGTTTCCAGGATGCTAATTTGTATAAGTCAGATTGGAGAAGGGGCTCCAGCAGCTTGCCTGAATACGATATTGTTGTTGAATATTGTTTTAAGGTTGGAAATGAAAATGATCTAATACTGACCATACATGGAAAAAAGGAGAAGGAGGGAGAAATAACTAGTATACTGCATGGCAGACCCTGATCCCCAAAGATTTCAGTAGGCCAAAACGATGTATAGAATTTATTATATGAAGGTAGCATTGATCAAGGACAAATGTAAAGTCCCACCTTTGAGTTCAAGAAGTCCTACCCTTCCCGAGAACGGAATTAGAAAGATATGGATTAATAATATATGTGATAAATACTTCAAGATTTAGATGTATGTGAACCAGATATGAATTAAGTGCAGGGGGATTGGTAATACAGTGGTCTTAGAATCAGAAGTTCTTAAAATTCTAACTCCAATTCTACTCCTAACTGTGTAGCCATGAGTAAATTTTCTGACCTCCTTAAGCCTCAGTTTTCCCATTATAAACTGTGTGGCATTTTTATAGCATATACTGTGTGTTTACTGGTGTTGATAGTTGCAGAAACACAAGGAAAGCTAGTTGAGTCTTAAATTAAGAAAAACAAACCATTCACTTCTGGATACTTTTGTTTTATGAGAAATTTTGATAGTATATGGTTAAGAAAAACAAATGGCAGAGGAAAAAAATTCCACAGATAGGAACTCTGTTTATCTTTAAATCTCTAAATGGTTGGTATACGAACTAGGCTAGGTTATACATTTATTTTTTGCCGTGAGCACATAACTCAGGGCAATGAGGAAAGCTTCAGGTTAACAGACTTTGTCTCAGTGTAAAGAAAAACTTTTGAACCATTAAAACTATCTAAAATGGAATGAATGGAATGACATGCCTTACTGAGTCACTGGAGATGTGCAGGTAGAGTGTGGGACAACCCTTCATCTTGGAATATTTTACAGGGAATTCATGCCTCGGGTAAAGGTCTGTTCAAGCCAGTTTAAGGCCCTTTCTAACTCTAAGATTCCCAGTTCTGTAATACGGGGATAATGAAACTTCTCACAGTTATTGTGATGAATAAATAAGACAGTACATGTGAAAACTTCTTGAATGTTGCATGGTACATGATTGGTACTCACTGAATTTTCTTTGCTGTATCGATAAGATAAAAATAATCCCTGCCCTGGCCTTGGTACATATGAGATAATGAAGGTAAACATGCTTTAAATACCCTTCAAGTCCTTTACAAGAATGAAAGGTGCAGACGTCTATGTCTGACATCTGGCCAGGCGTTTGGCTTCAGTGTTTGTTCATTTACAAAGGGAGACCTTGGCTTTTTTTTTTTTTTTAAGCTTTTCTGCGTGGGGTTTTTGTTTTGTTTTGTTTTCAGGTGGGGGAGGGCCTGACTTACTTGCATGGAATGAATAGATTTGCCTTGCTGTAGCCACAGAATGTGTTGGTTAGGTGCAAAGACTTTGGGGATTCCAGGCCTAGCTTGCTTTCATACTAGCTGAGTGACTGTGATATCACCTCATGAGCTTCAGTTTCCTTTACGTAAAGTAAGGGTACCTTGTTTAGGTTTGTTGTGATGATTCAGCCCAATAACATGTGTTAAGTAATTGGCACAGAGTCTGCATGCAAGTGCTCAGTTAACAGTAGCTTCCTTCATTATGATCTTTTTCCACATGCTGTGAGAATTTGCCAAATGCTTCTTTGAAGGGCTATAGGGTTGATTGGGAGATGGCCTTTCTCTTGTACCTTTGAGAAACTTCCTTTTGAATTGATTCCTGTCTGTGACATAGACCAGTGTCATTTATAGAAGCAGAATATGGCAGTAAGAATAGCTATGGCCAGACAGAGAAGCAGTCACAGGACTCAAGGGGAGTCTAGTCTCTCTGTGCCCATCAGTGGAGAAATTCTCCCTTCCAGTCTTGGATCTCAGTGTAGCCTTTTTTAAACTCTCATGAGAAGAACAAAAAGCATTACAAGACATGAACAGATTCTCAGCAGGTCTATATTTGATTGTTATCGAATGACGTTATTGATCTCCAGTCCTGATACTGGCAGATTGGGGTCAGCCACTCCTTAAATGGACAAGGTACTTAACTTTCTTTTAAATCTCCGAATTTTCTCATTTACAAAATGTTAATAGTTGTACCCACCTTTGGGATTATGAGAATTACATGACACAACACAAAGAAGGCACAGTGCCTAGTTGTAGTAAGTGCTCAGTGAAATCATATCTGTGAAGAAAGGAAGGTGAGATTCTTGTAGACATTGGTTAATTTTAACTATTTCTAAGTCTATTCTAGTAGAGTTCTGGTTTATATTTTAATGTATACATATAATAGGATATTGGCAATTATAATTAAAAATTAGAAAACTTAGATTCTTCTGTAGCCAATTACGATTTCCTGGCAGCGTTCCATGCTCTATTTCCAAGCCCTTTGAGCAGCTCAGGCCCAGCACTCTAGGAAATTACATCTCACGCATAGTGAGTGCTGTCCTCATGCCATTCGTTTTGCCTGTTTGGCCCTTCCTGGTTTAGTTTTTTAACTTGCTGTTGTAACGTTCCTCTAATGTTTACCTTGAGCTTCTTTTCCTTTTTAAAAAGAAAAGGAATGCTTATTACTCTAGGCCATTTTTATAGGGTTATCTTAGCCAAGTTTCTTTTAGTTACAAATAACAGAAACTCATTTAAGTTAGTTTAAGAAAGATAAAAGAAAGGATTGTATCATGAGAACATGGGAATGTCAGTTTGTCATAGTCTGTCAGTTTGCCCAAAGTTAGGAAGTGAATCCAGGCTTTAGAAAGACTTGGAAAGGTCTATGAGTAGGAGCTGTAGTCCTCAAAAACTAGACAATTCCCTTTTCATATTTTTCTGTTTCCCTATCTGTGTGGTCTCATATATCTGCTTCTCTCTGCACACTCGCTATTTGCCTTGTGACTTTGAGCAAGAGTCTTAATATGTCTGGGTTTTTTTTGTATGACAAATGTGTGTTAGTTTCCTAGCTGCTGTCAAAAATTACCACTAACCAGTGACTTACAACAACAAAAATTTTTCTCTCACAGTTTTTGAAACCAGAAGTCCAAAATCAGTTGGCTGAAATGAGCAGAGCCACACTTCCTTCAGAGGTTCTGAGGGAGAATCCATTTCCTGCCTCTTTCAGCTCATAATGGCTGCTAGTTAGTCCTTGGCTTGTGACCAGCTTCTGCCTCTCTCCACGTCACTTTCTCATGTATGCGCCCACGTGTGTGTGTGTTCTCTTCTGTCTATATCACATCTCCCTCTGCCTCTCTCTTATAAAAACATGTGATTGTAAGTAGGGCCCAGCTTTATAATCCAGAATAATCTCCCCTTAATTTGATCATATCTGCAAAGATCCTTTTTCCTTACAAGATAACATTTACAGGTTCCAAGTACTGGGACTTGATATCTTTGAGTGGCCATTATCCACTGTTACAAATGAGGATCGTAAAGATCTCTCTCAAAGATGACATATAATAAAGGCTCTATAAATGCTAGCTCCTTCCTTCTCTGTGTTCCTCATACACACACACACACACACACACACACACACAGACACACACCCCATCATGCCCCGCTTTAACATTGCCTTTGGATGCTTGTCTTTTCAGGTATGTCATTATCACTTTAAATACCTGTTTGGATAATAATGATAATGAAAATAACAGCTGTCATTTATTTACTGTCTCTAGCAGCCTAAGCACTGTGCAGAGTACTTTATCCACGATGTATAGATGCCATTATAATCCCCATTTTACAGATAAGAAACGAGGCTCAGAGAATTGACTTAATTTGCTCAAGTTCACCCAACTGCTAAATGTCAGAACTGGGGTTCAAATAAGGATCCCTAATTCTGAGGGCTGTATTTTTTTTTCACTGAGACATTTATTTTTTAATTTATTTTTATTGAGTTATAGTCAGTTTACAATATTGTGTCAATTTCTGGTGTACAGCATGTATTCTTAATCATTATAGCTTGCCTGTTGCTCAAGATTGAGCTTCAGATCTCTGGTATCCTGCCTTGGCCTCTGATCAGAATCTTTCCTGGAGATTTCTTGCACCCACTAGCAAGGTCTGAGATCACAATTAACAAGGGTGCTTTTTTGGTCAAATGTCTGTTCTGTGGCAATTGCTTGGTCCTGAGTAAGTGGAATTTGAGGGAAGAGAAAGTAGAGAGCTATATTCCAGCCTGAATTTTCACTTTGACTAACTTGTTTGTTGCTAGGCACTGAGTTCCTTGACTGTGGGGATCATGATGATTTATTTTTGAATACCCAATACCTAGTGTGGGGCCTGGACACAGAGTAGATATTCTGTTGAAATATCCTTCAACAGGGACTTTTATTCACTGTTGTTTCTGTGCCTTACAACAGTGCCTGGAATAGAATAGTTGCTCAATCTATATCTTTTGGATGGATGGATGGATGGCTTAGCTGGGCATGGAAACTTCTTTCCCTTGTTAACTATCATTTATTGGATATATACAATATGCTAGGCACTTACATACATGAAAGTAATTCTTACCACCTTCCTGCAGGGTAGGAGGGATGGACTGTTGCTGAGGAAGATAAGGGAGAGGAGAAGTTAAAGATACCTTCCACATTTCCAACATGGATACTGGTTCAAGTGATGATGAACCCAGAGGGAAGAACATGAGTTCTTTTTTTTTTTTTTTTTTTTTTTTTTTGAAAGGCTGTGTTTGTGGTATCTGAAGGTAGATACAGGAGTCTGTTCTTACATCAAAGGCTTTAAAGATGCCCCCTGTTTGCCAGTTAGCCTGGAAAGGGTGATTTCTGCATCTATCCAGTGTTGCTTATTTTAAAACTGCAGGCTTAAAGCCATTATTTCCACTGTGTTGTAACTTGAATTTGTTCAGTTTCTGTTCCAGATGATCGGGCTGAACAACGAACCTGTCTCATTTGTGGGGACCGCGCCACAGGCTTGCACTATGGAATCATCTCCTGTGAGGGCTGCAAAGGGTTTTTCAAGAGGAGCATTTGCAACAAGCGGGTATATCGGTGCAGTCGTGACAAGAATTGTGTCATGTCTCGGAAGCAGAGGAACAGGTGCCAGTACTGCCGCCTGCTCAAATGCCTCCAGATGGGGATGAACCGGAAGGGTGAGTGGTGCCCATCACTTTACCTTTAATGTCAGCTATTAAGCCTTGGAGTTACTCATTTCCTAAGCCTGCACTCTATGCCAGGCCTTGTGCTGTGTCCTCATAACCCAAAAATGAATCTACCTACGGGAATCTCCCCGGATTAGCTGGAGAACAAGACTGGTGAGATGTTAAGGATCCTGTGAGAATGAATGCACAGGCTCCACGTGGCAAGACCCCAGTGAATAACCCAGCCATGACTAGTGTTAATATACTCCACTAGTTCTTTTTTTTAGGGCAAGATGACAGGACATAGGAATTTTAGATGAGAAGGCAGTACGTTCCCTGAATGTGTTATCATTTTTGTTTGCTAGAATCATGGCCTATTCAGAGGCTAGATATGCCCAGAAATCAGCATCCAGTTTGGTGAAGAATTTGGGATTTATTGGGAAGTTTTCTGAGAGCCATTAGCTTAAAATGACATGAATAAGCAGATATTCTGAGAGGATTAACCCCCAGAGGCAGCTTTGAAGAATGGATGGGGTGGAAGAAGCAGAAAAGCCACCTACAGAGTTTTAGAGAGGTCTAGAAGAAGGTGTGAAGGATCTAAAGGAGGGACGAGAAAATAATGGCGCAGATGGGGAGATACAGGAGAAGCTCACCAGAGCAGTGGTGACATACCAGATGCTGGGCAGCACCAGAAGTTGAAATTGAAGATTTGAATTAATAGTGAATGAATTAATAAAAGCAGAGTGGGGCAAAATGTTGGTTGGCCTCGGTAGGTGCTGAGTTTGAAGTACCTGAGAAGGACACGCATAGATGTCACCAAGGAAGTTGGATATATACGATTGGAACCGAGGTGAAAGTCTTGCCTGCAAGTAGTTTTGTGGAGCTGTTGGCATAGAGGTGGTAAAATGTTGTTAGTGGGTAGAAGTCACCCAAACAGAGAACTTGGGTGCAGAAGAGGGCCAATGTCAGAAGTCCAGGAACCCTCATGGAGGGTAGAGAGTGTGCAGTGTAGTTCAGTGAAAGAGCAGAGGCTTAGGAGGCAGAGATTGGTGACAGACTAGCTCTGTGACCTTTGGGCAGTTTGCTTTATGTCTCTGATGCTCAGTAGTCCTACCTTTAAAATGATATGATAATCCTTTCAGAGTTCTATGGAGGATTAAATATGGCCATGTATATAAACTACCCAGCAAGGTATTGGGAGCTCATAGTAGCAGTATGCAGGGGTGGGGGTTGGTCAGATTTAATGAATTGTTCAGAAAGGTTTTGTAGCAGACATGCAGATATACTTCAGTTTTTTTTTTTAATTGTGTGTGAGATAATGAGAATTTTTTGAAAACTTACCCATGATGAAGGAAAAGTAAAAGAGATATAGAAGCAAATTTAGGTAAATATAGGTCATTTGTAATTTACTTATAATACTAATATTAATTGAGCACTAAATGTACTAGAAAATCTTATGTACTTGTTATACATTATCTCATTAAATACACATAACAACCCTGTTACTATTACCCTCAGTTTACAGATGCAGCTTAGGGAGGTAAAATGATTTGCCTGTTAGTTTAGTGGTGGTTATATTGACAGTTAATAGTTTTTAAATTGTAATTTGTTATTAATCAAGCATAGCTTGTACCTCACCACATGGACAACCTCCTGCTTCATGTGTTTACCATATGGGATAACTATTTGCATGTTGGAATGTCCTCTATGTACTGAACGATAAACACCTATAATAGGGCATTTAAACTGTTACCAGCTTCGTTGCCTGTCCGTGTTTCTAACATCGTGTTCTGTCCAGAACTTACTGTGCCTCAAGCATGTCTTACACTCCCCTGCCTGCACTAGATTCCTCCCTCTAGCTAGAAATCTTCCTTCCCCACTATCATTTTATTCCTACAAAAAACCCTTCCCAGCCACCATTACCAAAAAAGTCATGTCTTGAAGAGAGTCTTTTGTCATCTACTCACCTTCACCTGATTTGATTTTGGTCTCCAAATCCCTTTGTTGCCCTTACTGTGAGTATTTTACCAAAGCACGTTTATGGGTTGCCTTCTTGACTACTCTCTCTCTGATGAATCATCCTGCTTATTCAGTGTGAAATTCTGATGCTTCCAGCCAAACTTAACTATTTCAGGGAAGCTTACCCCCATAACCCATGTCTAACCCTAGCTAGGAGATGGCACGTGGGATGTGAGGGGTGTAGAGCTACCTTCCTAGGCCCATTTGCACACAGAGCAGGCAGGCTCAGTTGCATGGTGAAGGCTGTGTCTCAGAGAGAGAAACCCTGCCACCTCCTGGTCGGTGCTGAGAAAGCAGAATTAAAATTGCAGTTGCCTTTGGAATGTTTTGGGGTGATGGAACTATGATGTTTGACACTATTTTATGCATCTGTCAAAACCTAAAGAACTAAACACCACAAAAGAAGTGAATTTTAATGTATATAATTTTTAAGACAATCAGTATATGGTGGGAAAAGATAGACTATAGACTGACAAATGAATCTAACTGATACTACAAATAAATCACATAGCCACACTAAAGAGACTAGGGAAGAAAGGAGTTGACCTTGGAAAACAGTGTTTTGACTGTATACTGTAAGACTGAAGACAAAAAGAACTGTGTACAAAAAAGCTCTAGTTTATAAATTTGTTTCTTTCAAGGTTATGGGTTAGGAATTCTGTCACTACTTTGATTATATACTAGGGTTGAACAAATAAGTAAATATACTGTAGACAATGAGAATTGAATTTCTCGCATCAGGGAAAGAAGTTATAAATCAGGAAAAGAGAAGGCTTGAATGAAACCTGGTGCTAGATTGGAGTCAGAGGTTTTAATATGGACTTAGGTTTATGTATATAGATAGATAGATAGACAGACAAATACGTGAGTAGATACATGAGTTGGTATACATATGTGTATTTTCTAGCTATCAATAAAAGGAATCAAGACTCCTTGAAGAACTGGTTGATTTTACGGCTGATGAAGAGAAAATGTAAGATGAGTGAGCCTGGAGCATCCTGTGGTGCCAGAAAGTTAGAATGTGCTGTGCTGTGTGTGTGTGTATATCTATATTCCAAATATATATCTATATTCCAAAGAATAAAACATTCATGAGTTCAAACTGATAGAACGAACTGAATGGAGGAGTGGTGATTCTTTAGAGAAGAATTATAATTAGTTAAGTGTAGAAGAAATGAAGGAAATAGAAAATCACCATTAAAACACCTTAGCAGTAATTGCTGCAGGCAAGATGCACTGATGAATGCTAAAATAAGAGCATGGGTTTAAACAGAAACAGAACATTTGCCCTGTCTCAGAATATTTAGTAATTACAAAGGGAAAATAGTACATTTCAGTAGAGAATATTGACAGATAACACTTTATTCAAGTGATCAAGGGTGACATCATTGTGTTTACATTGACATCATGTACTCCCTGATAGGACACACTAAGAAGGGTACACATATACAGATACACACACACACGGATGGGTAGATTCATTCCCAGTCTAATCATGAGAAACATACAAGCCCAGATTGAGAGACATTCTTCAAAATAACTGGCGTTCTACAAAATACTCCGCAAAAGTGTCAAGGTCACGAAAGATAAGGAAAGACTAAGAAACTGTCGCAGATTGGAGGAGACTACGGAGAGAGGACAACTGCATGCAATGTGGGATTCTGGATTGGATTCTGTAACAGAAGACGGACATTAGTGGAACTGGGAAAAGCTGAATAAAGTCTGTACTTTGGTAAATAGTATTGTACCAGAGTTAATTTCTTAGTTTTGATGAATAGTCTGTGGCTGTGTAAGCTTAGTTAACAGAAGGGGAGGCTGGGTTTAGAATATATGGGAATTCCCTGTGCTATTTTTCCAGTTCTTCTCCAAGTCTAAACTTACCTCAAAATTTTAAAAATTAACTGTTAAAAAATGCAGCCACTATGTGTGAGCCTGTCCTCTGTTGTCCCCCATCTCTGCACGTAGATATCTTTAGATATCTTTTCAGAGCTAGAAGTTGGCTGGTGAGGAAATTAATTATCAAGGCCATGAGAGAGATGTAAATATGGTGATGAGTAGAGGCTTGTCCATGTCTGTCCATCCCCACTGCTACCCCAGTATCCGAAACGTGTACTCCTCACCCATCTTGCAGCCTTCAGATAAAGTTGGACTCCTCAGAATGATTTCCAAGGCCCCTCTGGCATTCCTTCCCTTCTCCAGACTCTGCTGCTCCCCCTACACAATCTGCATTCCATCCCAATTCTCCAAAAACTCGATAATGTTTCTTGTTTGGGGGCTTTGCACATGTGGTTTCTTTTTCCTGGAATGTTCTGCCCCCTTTTCTTCACCTGACTGTATATACTTTTCTTTTTAAGCTCAGCTTTTATTTGTAATAGTCTCTAAGAAGTCTTCTCTGACACCCCTCCCCCACCAGATGGCCCTCCACAGCCCTTGTTTGCCCTCTGCCATAATGCTCATCCCCTTGTGCTGTGTTTGTATACTTGTCTTTTCCCCCCATTATTAGACAATGATCCGCTCAAGGGCCATTACCAAGTCCTACTTTTCTCTTGTGTCCCTTAGCAGATAACCCAATTAGGGTAGGATGCTTCCTGGTTTGATAGATTGACTGTGGTGGGGGACCAGGACAGGAAGTGGGTTGGGGAAATATTGTTAAAATCATCAGAGGCAAGAGGAAGCTACACTGAGCCCCATGGGGGAATTCATGTCGTTAAGTAATCATGTGAAAATACTTAAAATTCCTTAACTTTGTTGTCTCGTAACTTGCTAGATAACTAGTTCAAAAGTGAAAAGTTTAAGGAAAGCCTCTTGGAGGCAGTTGATGTTTGTAGGAAGGCATTGTGAGGTGAGACAGTGATCCTGTGGCATTGCTATATCACTTTACTAGGAAAAAAAATGGAACACTGAGAAATCTCAAGGAGAGAAAACATTTGAGCAGAATCTTGAGGGAATCAAAGTCTAAGCTCCTTATAAACTAAAAGAGCTTTGTAAAAATGACTCCTCCTCCTCTCCCTCTCTCTCGTGTGTGTGTGTGCGTGCGCGCGCGCTCATTTGCGTGTGTGTTTTCTTAACTATTTGGGAGTAAGTTACAGACTTCATTCCCCTTTGCTTCTAAGTAACCGTAGCATTATTATCAAAATCAGGAAATTTATACTATTATCTAATTGCAGGCCTTATCCAAATTTCACCAGTTACCCCAGAGACCTTGATAGTAAAGCAGCTTATATTTTCTAATCTAGGAGCCAATCCAGAATCATACATTATATTTAATTTTTATGTCTCTTTAATTTCCTTTAATCTGAAATGATTCCTCTTTTTTTTCTTTAGTAACATTGTCAGTTTTGAAGGAAACGAATTATTTATTTTGTAGACTATCCCTTAACTTGGGTTTCTCAGTTTCCTGACGATTAGATTCCGGTTATGCAGTTTCGGCAAGAATGCCACAAAAGCAGTGTTGCGTCCTCTCGTGCATCCCGTAAGAGTCCATGGTGTGAGTTTATCCCATTACCAGTCATGTTAACTTGAGTTGCTTAGTTCAGGTGGTGTCACTTGGGTGAGGTGGTGGTGTAAAGTTTTCCACTGTAAAGTTTCTTTCTGAGTAGAGGCAATAACACGTGCAGAGGCAAAACTGTGTTGTAGAACAGCAGGGCATGTTTAAGAGCTAACAGATATTTCTCTGTAGGGACAGTGTAACATTGTGGCAAAAATCGGATGGGGAGCCCCGCAGGAACCAAACGAGATCACAGAGGATCTTGAATGCCAGGCTAGGGAGCTTGGATTTAATTAGCCCGTAGACCAAAGGGAACCACCAGTGGATTTTGAGCAGGGCTTTAATGTGGTTAGCTTTGTGTCTTTCTGGTTTCTGGGTTTGGTTGGCTGCTCAGGCCTAAGCAAGTGAGGAATGGTAGGTACATGAGTTCCAGGGTAGAAAAGGTATTTGTGCTTCTTATGAGCGGATGGAAGGACCATAGCTGGTGCCGCCCTCTTAGGCTTAGACAAGGGGTGCAGCAGAACCATTCCTGTGACCCTGCACCCAGAAACCTTTGTTTTGTTTGTTTTAATAAGTTCACTACCAGAAAAACTCTCAGCTCTGCTGGAAAACTTGCTCTTAGCTGAGTGTAGCATCAAGGAACAAGCACAACTTTAGAATCAGAAGACCTTAACTGAAATCCTATCTCTGTCAAGTCTTCCCGGAGTAACCTTGAACAAGTCCTGTTTCCTCTCTGAGCTTCCGTTTCCTCATCTCTAACCTGCATAGGATTATAATAATGTATACTTTCTAAGGTTGTCATGGGGATTAAATGCAGTCACGTATATGTGAGTAAAATACAAGTGTTAAAATAAGATCCAAGTTTTTGTTTTAACAGAGGCACTGTGACACATGGTGTTGTTGCCCACACTTCAGGCAGTTTCATGCTATCTTGAGAGATTTTACCACCTCTGATTAAACCAGTACCATTGTTTTGTCCTTCTTTAAATTATCTTTTTGGGAAAAAAATCAAAGTTTATTTTAAAAGGGGATTTTTTTTATCACCTCAGTGATTGGGAAATCAGTATTTTTTAATGCATGTTAATATAAATGTATAATTAAGAATTTATCTATGTACCACCTAAAATTATGTTTCTCCACTGGGATGCACACACACTTCGGGAAATTACAGTAGTGGAGAGGAGGCTGGTCTTAATCTGATAGTCTGAGTTCCAACACTGAGATTACACTTGGTCTTAGCCAAAAGGCTGAGAAGTGATAAACCCTGATTTTAATGTTTAATTTCTGTCACCCTAAGCAAAACTCTTCATTTCTCTGAGCCTTAGATTCATCTGCCCAGTGGGAATGATAATACTAATACTTCCTTCATGGGTTTATTTTACCCAAGACAGCACATAACATATGTATGAGTTTCCTTACTCCAGGTGGGGTTGAAGGACAACATGAGCTTTTAAATATCAGAAGGAGAAATTGGTAAGATGTAAATCTTTAATACTGGTGGTCCTTTAAACAAAAAGGAAAGCATGTTAAGTTCCATCCTCAACTCTACGACACTGAGAGTGAACTATCAACTGAAAAATATTCCGTGTTGTATCTGCCAGTGATAGATCTTTGTTCTGTACCTGTGAGCTGAAGCCAAGACATGGGAGATACCTGTATTGACCCTGGAACAGCAGAGGAAGAATTTTAAGGATGTTTAGAACTTGAAATTAGGTTGAAAGAGAGCTCCTAAACAACAACCAGCGTGTACCTAGATAATGAATATATTTAGCTGTATATGTTTCTTGCTCCAGATTCACAGCAGCCTTGTAAAGCAGTCCATACTCCTTTATACGCCAGGCCCTATGCCTGCTGCTTTAGCTGTGTTACGCATAATCCTCACAGCACCCCACCCTGTAAGACAGGTTCCAGTAGCCTCTTTATTCTTCAGTAAACTGAAGTTCACAGAGATAAGAAACTTGTCTCTAATTACACAAACCTGGCAGAAACAAGATTTAGACTCAAGCTTGTCTAATTCTGAAGTGTATAATCTTCGAAGACCAAGAATGATGTCTGCTTTAAGGAAAATGAACTTCCTGTCAGCCTTTCAGGTTCCCCAGGAGCCAAGTGTTAGGCTTGGACCGCTCACGTTCTGAGGGCAACCAGCCCTGCCCTGAGGACTTTCTAGATTGTTTATGTTAAATTTTTTTAGGCTATTATGGCAAAGCTTGCTCTCATGATTCCATTAGCTTATCTTCTGTTGTTACTATTACCCGCTACAAGTCACCCTCCCCAGTGGCCATCACAAAGATTTTTCAGAAATGCCAACCTGACCACATGCTCCCTAACATTCCAGGCTGTCTGTGATCTGGCCCCTGTTGGCCTCTCCAGCCTCATTTCTTGCTACTGTTCACACGCAACACACACATAACACGCTTCAGCCAAATTGAAGCACTTGGAAATTCCCAGAAAGACCACTCCATGCTTACTTTCAACTTGAAACTTTTTCTGTATACTGTCCACTCAGCCTGGAGCAGCACCCTTTTTCTCCCTGCATAAATCCTATTTATCCTTTAAGACTCAGTTCAGAAGTTGTATTTTCCAGAAAGCTTCGCCAGACACCAGAGCCTTCTATTAATTACAAATCCGAGTTCCTTCTCTGTGCCCCGTATTAAGTGCTCTGTAAGCATGATGGTAATAGTGTTAGCAGTGGTTATTCTTAATGAGGCTGTTACTGTTTAAAGGATTTTTTTTATAATTAGGAAATACTAAATAACTTCTTTTTTTGTTGTTGACTTATCTGAATGGGAAATTAACTGCAAGGGAACTCTACTGACTGCTTTGTAGGGAAGAACCAATGAGATAAAAATTCTGATTAATTAAAAAACAAAAGCAAAAAAAATCTGTTTTCCTTATTCTACAAATCAGACTCAAACTTCAACTGGAAATAAAAAATACTTTATTAAAAAGTGATGTATTCTTTCTATCCCCCCTTCCCCCACTTGAATTTATCAGAGCCTTCACATGCATCATCCTGATGGGATATTTGTAACTGTAGGACTGTTAATAAAGTTGTCATCTTTGTTGAGCATGCTGAATGTATACATGTGTGTAGTGTGTACCCAGTGCCTTCAGGGCCCAGAAGCATCTGTTCCCTATGAGATAGCCTGGGATGATGGAAAGACCCATGTTTTAATCTTGGTTTCACCAATTACTACCTTGTGCTTTTGGCCAAATAAGTTTTCTTTTTGTACCTAGACTTCTGTGGGCACTCTTCTTACTGTCTTATGTTTCCTTCTAGCAATCAGAGAAGATGGCATGCCTGGAGGCCGGAATAAGAGCATTGGGCCTGTCCAGGTGAGTTCCAAGCCTTACTCTTTGTGATCTATCCTGAAAGCCGAGGCCTCCACGTGCTCCTGCAGCTGCTCCCCTTGACCTTCTCGTCTGCTACTGGGGGGAAGCCATCTTTACTTTCTTTCCTGTAAAGCTGCTTTTACAGCTTGGATATGAAAGTGCTTTGAAAATCTTTAATATGTAAGATAATGGTTAAAGCTCTTGTGATGCCTCAACCCTTAGTAAGGATTTCAGAGGAAGTGAAACCAATTTTGGTTAAAAGGGCTTTACAAAAGTCCAGGCGAGACATATAGATAGTGGTTTCAGGTAGGGCAGTGATAGTGCAGATTGGGGTGGGGGGTAGAGTCAAGAAATATTCAATAGGTAAAATCGATAGGATTTATCCAATTGAATGTTAGGGAATGAGAGAAGGACAGAAATTCAGAATTGTTTTGAGATACATGCTGATGATGTATGGGAGGGCTTTCTGTCACGTGAGTTTGATACACAGTTAAGGTGTGGTGTGTGCTGTATTCTCTTTTTAAATCACACGTTTTTACTCATTTATTCAAGGCATATATATCTCTTGCAGATTAAATTATTTTGGCCTGCATTCATAGCTCTTTTTGTGGTAAAAATACAACATAAAATGTAACAAATTGTTAAGTGTGCAGTACAGTATGCTGCACATTTTTGTACAGCAGATCTCTAGAACTTTTTCATCTTACACTGAAACTTCATATCTATTGAACAACAAGTCCTCATTTCTCCTTTCCCCCAGTCCTTGGCAGCCACCATTCTACTTTCCCCTTCTGAGAATTTGACAGCTTTTAATACCCCATGTAAGTGGAACCATGCAGTACTTGTCTTCTGTGACTGCCTTATTTCACTTAATACAATGTCCTCAAGGTTCATCCATGTTGTAGCATATGACAGGATTCCTTCTTTTTAAGGCAGAATAATATTCCATTATATGCATATAGCACATTTTGTTTATTCATCCATCGATGGACATTTAGGTTGTTTCTGCCTCTTGGCTATCATGAACACTGCCTTGACTCCAGTGAACATGGGAGTACAAATTTCTCTTCAAGATCCTGATTTCAGTTCTTTTGGGATTACTGAGTCATATGGTAATTCTTTTTTTTTTTATTTTTTGAGAAACCTCCATACTGTTTTCCATAGTTGCTGCACCATTTTACATTGCCACTCAATGGTGGACAAGGGTTCCAATTTCCCCCATCCTCTCCAGGACTTACTTTCTGGGTCTGTTTGTTTGCTTATCTCTTTATTTTGATACTGGCCATCCTAATAACTCTGAGGTGATACCACGTTATAACTTTGATTTGCATTTCTCTGATGTTTGGTGATGCTGAGCAGCTTTTCATATGCCCATTGGCTATTTGTATGTCTTCTTTAGAGAAATGTCTAATCAAGTCTTTTGTTATTTTTAAGTCAGGTTAATTAATTAATTAAGTTGCAGTAATTCCTTATGTATTTTGGATATTAACCCTTTATCAGCTATATGGTTTTCAAATATTTTCTCTTGTTCTGTAGGTTGCCTGTTCACTTTGTTGATTGTTTCCTTTGCTTTGCAGACGTCTTTTAGTTTGATATAATCCTATTTGTCTGTTTTTGCTTTTGGTGTCATATTCAAGAAATCATTGAAAAAAATGATAGGAATATGGGATTAAACTATCTAAAGTAATAGATAAAAACTACTATATAAAAAACTAGATAAGCAACAAGGACAATACTGTATAGCACAAGGAATTATATCTAGTTCCTCGTAATAACTTATAATGTGATAGAATCTGCAGAAAATCCTGAATCACTGTGCTGTACCTCTGAAAATAACATAATATTGCAAGTCTAACTGTACTTCAATTTTAAAAGAAATCATTATCAAGGCCAGTGTCAGGAAACTTTTTCTCTGTTTTCTTTTAGGAGTTTTAACATTTTGGGTCTTATGTTTAAGTCTTTAATCCATTTTGAATTGCTTTTCCTGTATGGTGTAAGATAGACTCTAATTGCATTCTTTTGCATATCGATATCCAGTTTTCCCAGCACCACTGTTGAAAAGGCTCTACTTTTCTCATTATATAATCTTGACATCTTTGTCAAAGTTCTTTTGACAATATGTATTTGAGTTTATTAGGGGGCTCTATATGTCTGTCCTTATGCCAGCCAATACATTCCTTTAGCTTTGTAAATGTGTTTTGAAATCGGAAAGTGCAAGGCTTCTAGCTTTGATACTCATTTTCAGGATAGTTTTGGCTATTTGGGGTACTTTGTGGTTTCATATGAATTCTAGGATTGTTTTTTTCCTGCAAAAAAATGCCGTTGGAATTTTGATGGAGATTACATTGAATCTGCAGAACACTCCAGGTAGTATGGACTTTTTAACAATATTAAGTCTTTTACTTTATGAATATAGGATGCCTTTCCGTTTATTTATGTCTTTAATTTCTTTCAGTGGTGTATAAGCCTTTTCACTTTGTTAGTTAAGTTTATTCCTAAGTATTTTATTCTTTTTGATACTGTTGTAAATGAGATTGTTCTCTTAATTTCCTTTTCAGATAATTCATTATTAATATATAAAAGTGCAACTAGAAAAAAATTAAAATGCAACTGATTTTCTGTGTTGACTTTGTATCCTGCAGCCTTGCTGAGTTCTTTTATTAGGTCTTTGTTTTATTCTTTGTTGGTTTAATAGGTTTTTTGTTGGCATCTTTAAGTTATGTACGTATAAGTTCACGTCTCCTGTGAATAGAGATAACTTTACTTCTTCCTTTCTGATTTAGTGCTTTTATTTGTTTTTCTTGCCTGTTGCTCTATCTAGGACTTCCAGTACTGTGTTGAATAGAAGTGGTGAGAGTGGGCTTACTTGCCGTGATCCTGATCTTAGAGGAAAAGCTGTCAGCTTTTCACCACTAAGTATGTTAGCTGTGGGCTTTTCATATATGGTCTTTATTTGTATTTTTTAAACATGTATTTGGATACAATAGGAAGTTTATCCATTGGGAGGAATTCTTAAGCATTCCCTCAATGAAAAACCTTCCTCAGTATTATCTAATGTTTTCTGAGTACTTTCTGTGACTCTCCCACCTTGCCAAGGGATCTTCAGTCATTTATATCTCTAGACTCACGTTCTCTCCAGAATTGAGGGGGCTGATGCTCAGAGAAACCTATTTCATCTGGCATTGCATTTAGGTTTCTGATAATGGGCATATAATTTTCCTTTTAGTCTTTAATTGTTTCTAGGTGGCGTTAGGAAGAGAGCTGTGATCTCCAAGTTTTTAACTCTGTTTAATTGTAATAAAACTAAGAAGGGGTAGAATTTCCATTTATTGAACACCTGTTATGCACCTGTGCTTAATAACTTTATCTTAAATTAACCTCCCAAGACTATCTGACTCAAACCTGCATTTTTTTTTATGGATGATTGAGTTTTATTAGGTATACTTTCTTTTTTTTAAGTTTTTATTTTTAATTAAAGTCTAGTTGATTTACAGTGTTTCAGGTATACAGCAAAATGATTCAGTTATATATGTATATATATAAAATACTCTTTTTCAGATTTTTTTCCATTATAGGTTATTACAAGATACTGAATATAGTTCTCTGTGCTGCTACACAGTGGGTCCTTGTTGTTGATCTATTTTATATGTAGTAAATATCTGTTAATCCCAGATTCCTAATTATCAACCTGCATGCTTCTTTGCTCCAGCACCCTGTGAAGGAATCCTGGGGTTAGGAAGGAAGTGATATTATCTCTATCTTACAGCTGAGGGAACTAAGGCTCAGAGTACTTGAATGACTTACCAAGCAGTAAGTACCCAGCTAGGAAATGACAGATGAGATTTGAACCCAGATTCAAGCAGTCCTGACATGTTCCATCCCCTGTTGAACGCGTTACTGATTGCCCAGTGTCCCACTGGACCCACAGGAAGAGACAGGTACAGTCCAACTTTGACTACCAGCTAAAATAGGCTTGCTTTTACTAACTGACCCTTCTCACCAAGCTCAGGTACTTCAGTGCCCTCCATGCTCTGGTCTTGCTCTCACACCATCACTGAGGCTGCTTCAGTCAGGGCCTCAGTAGATATCTTGTAGTTTGATTTGTCTTCACATGTTTATAAAATGTAAACATTGATTTCAGTGTTCTAAGGACCCCTAAGAGAAAAGATTGGGAAGTTTTTGCTACATGTGACTGAAGAAAAAAGACAGCCCCTCCAACTGAGTATGCAACACAAGCTATTTGAAGCCAGTCACTCAACTTGAGCACCAATTGAACACTTCTCGTTTTCCCTCCAAGTCCCCTGTGCTGGCCGGCTTCCATTTCTAAATGCCTCCTGTATTTATGATTAGAGCAGCTCAAGGTTCCCTTACAGGCTCCTGGAATAAAGAAGTATACAGGTTTGAGTCAGACAGACTTGGGAGAAAATGTCCTCCCAGACTTTCCATAGGGACAAGAAATAAAAATCCATCTGGATCTTCCTACTTAGCTCTCACTCATTCTGTGTGCTGAGTTTAGCCAGTATGGCCTCAACTCTGGGCTAAACACTCTATAGAAGAAGTGTTTATTCACTGCTTATATGGCGTAGTCACTAGGACACTGGGCTGAATACTTGGGTACTTTGGCCTCTTCCTCGAACTCCTGCTCAGACATGGGCAAGTGAGTTCCCTTGTCTAAGCTCTAGTTTCTTCTTCTATTCAATAGGCTTAGAAATGTCTTTCTTACTCATATGAAGGTGTATAGTCAGTACTTAATAAGTGGACATTTACTCATTTATCCAACATGCCTTTATTTGAGTACTGCTTTTTTGTAGATGCTGTCGTAGCCTAAGGTCTGATAGAGGATATTTTTATGATACGTTACCGTAAGTGCTGTAAAAATAACAATGATGATGAAGATATCATTGTCAACCTTCTGTTACAGTTGCTATGGACTAGGCCCTCTTCTAAATATATGATAATATATTAACTAATTTAACCCTCACAACAATCCTGTGAGATAGATACTACTGTTCTCTCCACTATACAGATGACGGAACTTAGGCTGAAATAGTTAAATGACTTGCCCAAGATTGTACAGCTAGAAAGTGGTAGATCCAAGATTAGAACAAGGGTGATTTGATTATAAAATTCATACTCTTAACCATTATGCTATTCTGCCTCTCTCAGAATACACAGAATTATGAGTGGATGGAAGAAGGACCTAAAATTCTGCCTAGGCTTAGTAATAGAAGGATTCAAAAAAGTGACATTTGAATTGGGTCTTAAAGGACAGGTAGGAGTTTGTTATTGAAGAGTGGTATTTCAGGGGTAGGAAAGAATAGACTCAGGGACACAGAGGGATATGGAGGAACCTAGAGGCATCGTGGCTTAAGAGGACGGTAAATGGGCAAAAGGAAGGCCATGGTTATCCATGGTGCTGGGAGGCAAGCAACCAGGGTGTCCTAAGATTAGAGAGAGAGAGACCTGGAGTATGGGTGTGGGGGGGAGGGAATTTGGGGGGGAACTCTAGAGAGTTCTGGGAATCCCCATGAAGTTTAAATAAGTTCTCAGTCCTGAAGAAGGAACAGAGGGTTTTCTGAGCACCGGTCTAATATATATCAATTCCTTGTCAAAGATATCAGAGGAAGAGATCGAAAGGATTATGTCTGGACAGGAATTTGAGGAAGAAGCCAATCACTGGAGCAACCATGGTGACAGCGACCACAGTTCCCCGGGAAACAGGGCTTCAGAGAGCAACCAGCCCTCACCAGGTTCCACACTGTCCTCCAGGTGAGCTTCAAGGCAAACCCAGCATCATCTAGGGATCCCCCAAAGAGTGGACCCACAAGGATCCTCTGGGCCGGGTATTCCTGCCAGTCTCTCTCAGCCGTTGTACTCTTGCTCCCTCGTCTTTCGGGGTAGGGGCCAGGATGATGCAGAGCCACATTTTGCAGCCCATTTTTTGCTAAAGACCTTGAAAATGTCAGCAGTCTCTTCTGCAGACTGAGAAAATGCTATAGCTGCCATCCGTGCCCTGCATTCTTCACCCGACAGAATAGCATTTTAATTGTAGCTCTTTTCTCTCATTTACTTTGTCACTGAAATAAAACAAAGCATGTTGACAATATTGAATTAAGTTATAATTTGTCTGCCTCAGCAATAGTGAAGATTTTCACTTTTTAAATTTCAAGAATCAGGCTAATCAAATTTGCTGGTATCATGAAATACCAGTTTGAAGACTCTTGGTTCTAAAACGGTATCTTAAGCTGTTGGGTGTAAAATACAGCCATCAGCTACCAAGAAAGATTTTCTTTCTCCGGAAATCTTTCTTACAAGACAGGGATTGAGTAAACTTTTTTTTTTTAATAAAGGCCAGATAGTAAATATTTTAGGCTTTGCAGGCCATACAGTTTAGGTCTCAAACACTCAGTTCTGCCATTATAGTGGGAAAGCAACCAGAGAACATGTGTAAATGAGTGAAGTATGGCTTTGTTCCAATAACATTTAATTTACCAAAACAGATCATGGATCATAGTTTGCTGACCCCCATTACAGGAAATGCACCTAGGTAAAGCTAGTTGACTGAGTGGTTAGATTTTTCCAAGAAAGGGGAGGAAGATAAGAATCTGCCTTTCTCTTGATATTTTGTTATAACTTTCATCCATTCATTTATTCCTTAGTTTGTTCCTTCCTTTGAATGTTTAGGGAGTTGTTGCCACATGCCAGGTTCTTCGCTAGGTGCTGGATTTGTTTTATGGCCTTGCAAGGCACTTAGCCTGTCTCTGCCTTAGTCGTCCTAGCAGTAAAAAAATATAAACACCCACCTTTGTCCTCGTGCTCTGAGTATTCATTAAAAACTCTCCAAATGTGCACCTGTACAAAGAGGTCATTTAAACAATATTTATTCAGTACAACTCTGCCAAGTCCTGGGTGTCCAAAGGGGAGCCACACATACACACACCTGCACCGAGTCCCTGTCTAGTAGAAAAGACATACGTATAACCACTAATTATGTGCCCGGCTTAATGAAGACCAGAGTGCATGGCCAAAGAACAGCTGAGCCACCTTCTAGCTCATTTCCTTTGAGTAGGCAGCAGACCTGCCATGGTTCTGCTTGACATGAGACTTTTCTCTCCAGTAGGTCTGTGGAACTAAATGGATTCGTGGCATTCAGGGATCAGTACGTGGGAATGTCTGTGCCCCCACACTATCAATACATACCGCACCTTTTTAGCTATCCTGCCCACTCGCCACTTCTGCCCCCGCAAGCTCGCAGCCTGGATCCCCAGTCGTACAGTCTGATTCACCAGCTGGTGTCAGCCGAGGACCTGGAGCCACTGGGCACACCCATGTTGATTGAAGATGGGTGAGTGAGCCTTGCCCCGTTTAGCCCTGCAGCTTTGGAGTGTTCCCCTGCCCCACAGCCACCTTCATCCCTGGCTGCCATACTCCAGGAAACATCAAAGGACAATTCTGTGCTTATCTTTGTAGTCAGTGGTCCTCATTTTCCTCTTAAGCATCTTTTCTCATAGAGGGGAGCTATTTATCAATCCCTGTGGAATTGGGATTAATGAACTTTTGTTTCTGGTTGGGCCTAGGTAAGCCAGGCCCTGGGATGGGTCTGAGCATTTCTGTGCTCAGAGCCAGAGATAAGCTATAATTCTGGGGATATTTATACAGTAGGTCTAGGCTTATTAACAAGGCTTTCAAGGCACTAACTGGTTGTGGCCTGTCTGTATCCCTAGCCAACAAACTCATGGGTAGCCTGGTGCCTTGTGCTCTGTGTGCATGCCTGAGTGCGTGGAAGGGAATATTCTTTCATCCTGTCAGCTCTACCTGAGTAGGTAATAGTTCAGCTGTTTAGGCCCACCTGTTGCTGTACCCATTACTCATTAAGCCTGGAGCATAGGCTGTTTGAGTGTTATTAAGCTTAGACACTCCCCAAAATGTATCCTGAGATTTCTTAAGCTAGGCTCCAATTTCAGAAGAAGTTCAGATGTCTATCTACAAGAAGACTACCACCAAAACGTTTATAAATCTGGGTGTGAGGGTGTGGGAAAGAGCCATGCTAAGGGACCTCATCTCAGAGATGAGAACTGCCCTGCTCTTTCCATCCAGCAGTTTAGAAGGGCTGAGCATCTCTAGTTGCTGAATTCTCACCAGCAGGGGGTGCAGTGAGAGCAAGAAAAGCTGACCGTGTTCTATTCTCTTTCATCCATCTGGCCCTGAGGCTCATTTTTGTGCCAATCCCTGTATTAAGTGGGTACCAGATCCACCCTAATGGAGCTCTCATTGCCAAAACAAGTGCAAGAGTGACTGGGAATTTTTTCTAACACATGGAGCATTAATGGACACTAACATTAAAAGTCACACTCCCTGATAATTGCACAAATTTCTAAGCCTCCTTTCCCCTCAGCAACCTTTTCTCACCAGACCCACCTCTCCTGCCCTAAGCTTGCTGCTAGCCCCAGTGCTGCCCCTTTATCATTAGGCTAAATTGAATAGAGCTGGAGATCCATGGTCAAGGGCAAGGAACCCATTGCCAGAGACCCTCTGTGCCCTTAGCAGTACCCTCCCCCCTACCCCCATCATCACCGTTATGGCCACTAGATGTAACTTTCCCCTTTTCTACCCCCAGATATGCTGTGACTCAGGCAGAGCTGTTCGCCCTGCTTTGCCGCCTGGCTGATGAGCTGCTCTTTAGGCAGATTGCCTGGATCAAGAAACTGCCTTTCTTCTGCGAGCTCTCAATCAAGGATTACACGTGCCTCCTGAGCTCTACATGGCAGGAATTAATCCTGCTGTCCTCCCTCACCGTTTACAGCAAGCAGATCTTTGGGGAGCTGGCTGATGTCACTGCCAAGTACTCACCCTCTGATGAAGAACTACACAGGTGAGAGCTGCTGGCTGGGGAGAAAGTCTCAGGCAACCAGACCATTGTCATCCCTGCAACGCAGAGTTGTCAGGCACTCCAAAGGATGCGCATAAAAGCTGCTGGATTTGAGTCCTCGCTCTGCCATTGCCTGGCTTTGTAACTTTGGTCAAGTCTGTGATCCTCAGGTCCTGAATTATAAAATAGTATAATGACAATATCTCCCCAACAAGGTAGTTGTGAGGAATAAATGATAATGTGCAGCAAAGCTTAGCAGAGTGCTAAGCTGTTATTTTTATCACGTCTAGATTACTGCAGTAAGATAATTCATCTGAGAAGAACAAAAATCTAAACTTTTCCTACAAGGTGAGAGACTCTGAGCTGTAGTTTACAATCCAAGAACAAGAGCTGGGAGTTACCGTGGTACCCGCTGTATGCCAAGCACTGGACTTGGTATTTTATATTGTCTCCTTTCTTTCTTACAACCTCCAGCATTATAGGTGTTGTTTATGCCTGATTTTTAAATGAGAAAACTGAAATTCACAGGGGCCTGCCCTTGAGAGTTTTGAGTTTGAATCCAGAGCCTGAACCTATGCCTGCCCAGCTGAAAGCTTGGGCTCTTTCACTCTGTCTCAGATGTAGTGACATAAGAGCGTGAGGCTGAAAGACTGAATTGTCCTGAACATTTTCTGGCATAAAGTCTCATCCAGGCTGGCTAGGATCCTTCTAACTTCCCTGCCTAGAATGGATCTTTAACTTACTCACATTTGGAGACCTGGAGCACATGGTGACATCTGAAAGTTGGCAAAAAATGATCGGTTGATACAACTTTTCTGGATTGTTAATTTATCCACGTGAAAAATAAAGTTTAAATCGCATTTAAATAGACATTTCAGTATTTCACCTTTATTGGAGAGTTTAAATAATAGAAGTCATGGGATTCCAGGGCACCAGAAAAGGCGCCTCCATTGATGAAAGCTGAGAAGGTGGAATACCAGCCCCCAAATGTCTCCAAGGACCAAGGTGCATCTCCCTCTGCCCCTCAGTCACCATGACATAAAGATAAGCTGAGACTTAGGCTAGGAGCAAAGCTCCAACACCTTCAAGGACCCTTTGCACAGCTGAGGCGGGGAGGAGTCTGGGTACTTTGTCTCTCCCCTGGTTTTCTAATATTTCCTTATTAGTGATGCTTACAGGCTTGACAATGATCTATAAATGACAGAGTTTTTAACCCAGTTGACATTTTGTCCTGTAAACAGAGCTATCTGATTTTGCAGATGACCTAACCCCTTGACTTGAGCCTCTAATTCATTGTTTCCATCAAATTCCTGTCTCCTGCTCTGTAACTCTGGGCCAACTGACTGTTTGGATAGCAGTCAGCCTGCTCTAATATTGTCAGGGTTTCCAGAGCTAGCCCGGTGAGCCCAGCCTCCCTATTTGCCTGGAATCCACCAGTGCAGCCTGAGCTGCCTACAGAGTCAGCCTTGGAGGGCTCCACTCCCTGCAGAATGATGGGTGTTCCCAGGCCCTCTGCAGGTAGGCAAGGGTTACTGGCCATGCAGGGTTCTCTGTGGCTTTAAACTTCGTAAGGCACCCTGTCTCCTGTTTCCAGTCCCTTAAGCCCCACGAGGAATGTGGGGACCAGTTAACAGCTGAATTAGTGAGGGAATTATTTCCTAGGAAGGCTCCTTACCAAGGAGAATCTAAAGCTGCACTATCCAGTATAGTAGCTACTAGCCTCAAGTGGCTATTTTAATTAATTAAAATTTAAAATTCAGTTCCTCATTTACACTAGCCACATTTCAGGTGCCTAGGAGCCACACATGGCTGGTGCCTACTGTATTGGACAGTGCAGATACAGAACATTTCCATCATCACAGAAAGTTCTACTGAACAATCTTTAGAACACATTTTACAGCTGAGTTCTCAAGTGTGTTCTGAGGATAAGAAATAGATTCATTGTTAGAACTCTCACTGCACTATGAAATCCTTCAGTGGAAAAATATGAGTTAAACTTTAGCGTGTTAGTTCTGATTCCATGCCCACCTGTGTGTGTGAGCACCTGTGTGTGTGCTGGGAGGAGAGCTGTTGGGATAACAGATAATACAGACGTAGTTTCAGACTCAGAGATGAGGGTCCCTGTTCTTGTTTTAGGGCAAATAGGGGGACAAATAGAAGCTGATACAATCTACAGTCCACGATATTAGTGGAGATTGAGGGGCATCTGAGGGACTGTGTAAGCATGAACTGGGGAGTGAATCCCTCTGCTTGCATAATCAGAGAATGTTTGCCACAGGAAAAGACATTTGAGCTGCATCTCGAAGTGGGAGTTTTCTAGGTAGATAATGGTGAATAGGAGGCAGGCAGGAGAAGCACAGCATCCTAGAAGTCAGAGAGCCTGGGTGGGTGGTTTGTGGAGGTAACCAGAAAGCAACCCTGTGGATTAGGGTAGAGAGAGGATATTACTCTGAGAGGCAGAGAAATGAGGGGAGAAATGACTGGAGAGAAAGACAGAAAAGACCGGTCATGAAGGTACTCAGATGCTAATCTAAAAAATTTAGATTTTACTGTGCTAACAGTTTTAAGTCAGGACATTTTTAAGTAGAGCAGGTACACGGTCAGGTTGCATTTTAGAAAGATCTCCGTGGCTATAAAGTTCAAGACGGATTGCGTGGGCAAGGCTAGAGGACAGTGGCTGGGTAGGAGGCTATTCCATAGCCCAGGTGAAAGTAAACGAGGCCTGGACAAGGCAACAGTGACTGTGGGAATAGACAGGGCAGCACAGTAAGAGGTGATAAGGGGGTAAAGCCGGTGGAACTTCAGTGAGTGGAAAAGCTGGGATGCTGCCAGGCAGGTGAGCACTAATTCTCTTGCCTGAGATAATGGAGCCTGGGAAGGACAGGTTGAGAGGTGAGTCACTGTGAGTTTACCTTGGGGTATGTCGAGTCTGAGATGCATGTGGAATGGCCCAGGAGGCCAGAGGAGATAGAAGTATGAGAACCTGTGAAATCAGGTTCATGACTCTGAAGCTAGAAACCCAGAGTGTGGAGTCTGTAATTGGCCATGGCTCTTTCCTACCTTGCCTGCTCCAGCATTACTCCCACTCCTGCAAAATGCCTCTTAACTTTTTCACAACTCTTGAGTGCAAGTGAGTTCCTGCTGTCATGAAAAGGCTTTTCCCGAATGATACATGACCACCTCCTTTTCTCTACTCAAATATTGAATCAAATTTATGGTGCCCATTTTCCTTAATCAGGCTGTTATCAGACAATGAGCTGGGCGAATTTGATTTAAAGCAGATTGTAGCACCAGCCAGTGACTGCTCCTGGCCCTAATCAAGACTCCTTCATTCTCAGGAGAAGATGCCTTACACTAGATGGGCTTTAATGGGCACTTCTATCTCATGAGCACTGGCTCCATTTCTGCCAGATCTTTGGAAAGTTGCCTCCCAGCTTCCCTACTGTCTACGACCCTAGCTGTGAGGAAGCAGTCTTTTCTTTTTGCTGTTACAATGGGAGTGATGATGCTGCTGTTAATGTTAATGGCTAACAATTATAGACTGTTTATTGCACCAAATTTCATCTTAAATGCTTTACAAACAGTATTTGTTTAGTCCACACTACTACCCTAAGAGACCGTACTGTTATCCCTGTTCCACAGATAAGGAGCATGAGAGTCAGAGAGGTGAAAACTCAGGGCTACAGAGTTAAGAGAGATGGAGTTGAGATTATCACCTAAATCTCTTGTGCTCCAAAGCCCAGGCTCTTTGACATCACTACATTTTTTAGCCTTCTCAAAAGTCTGACTTTCTGGAATGTGTCCTGGAGCAGCAGGCTTCCTTTTCATCTGGAGTCTGCATGTGGTTGCTGAGATGGCAGTTCCTCTAAAGCTGTGGCTGATCACTGCTTCTGGGGGTAGGTGCATTTAGACAAATGAAAAAGAGACAACTGGGCCTTTCAACCCCCTTAATGGAACATAACTTATGTAGTGTCAGCTTCAATTGCTGACTGAATGGTCCAGTGGTTTGGGGGATCCTGGCAGGAATGTTTTCCTTGTCCTGGCATGCTTGTGTAATGGGAACCTAGAAGAAGAATGGGTGTGTTTGTCCAACTTTCTGGCTTTGAATACTGATAATTTGTAGACAGGGAATACAGGGGTGTTAGAACTGTGGAGTGGGCAGATGTGGAGGAGGCACGGCTGCAGGAGAAAGCAGGCCCATGGAACAGAGAACAATTTGTTTATCAAGGGGTGGGATGCGGGGTGTGGAGGAAAGCTTTGCGGTCGGCCTGTGGAGACTGAGTGGGGGCTGCTGGGCTGGCTGCCAACCCCCCCTGACTGCCAGGGGTCCACGATGGTTGCCTGCCCTAGGAAATATGGGAGAGAGGGTATGTGCTCTCCCCAAGAGCAAGGGCAGATCTGGGGCGTATTTTCGGGCCAGGCACGTGAGAGCTCCGTTGTGTCCCTCAAGTCAAGACTCAACTAGGAATAGGTTTGGCAGTGCTGTCTAGGAGTCTGGCCAGTAGCCACACACCTGCAGGTTCTGCAGTGCCAGAGTGAGCACTTGGGGCAAGAGGTTACTGAGGAAGGGAGAGAGCGTTATCTTTGCTTGCTACCAGACTGCTCAGCCACCAGACAGAGGCTGACCCTGCTGCTCTACTTGCATCCTGCTTTTTAATGCCCTACCCCATCTCCACCCCACCCCTCCAAAGAGATACTGAAGGGAATTTGCAGTAAGACCTTTTCCCTCTCAAGAACAGAAGTAGCTGACAAAGTACTGAGATGAGGAGTGATCTTCACTCCCAGACACGCTGCCTCCAAAGGTCTCAGCTGCGGGGGTGGGCAGTTCTGTGCACTGCAGCAAGTCCAGCACCCATTCTGGGTTGGACCCTGGGCTGAGTTGCTGTGGGAACACAGAGCTCCTGAAGTCCCCTCTGGTGGCCTTTCCCAGTTGCCAGTTGAGAACAAGTCAGTCAGGAAATGGACAGTGTAGTGCTGCGAAAGCCACAGGCTTGGAATGAGGTGACTTGGATTTAAGCCTTGGCTGCACCAGCATTTATTTCACGTATAACTTTGGGGAAGGCACCTCTTCTGTCTCCTCATCTCTAACATGAAGGTGATATTACTTATCTTACAGGTTATCAGGAGGGTAAAATATAAGAATGCAATAAAGGCACAATAAATAATTTCTCTGAGCCTTTGTTTCCACATGTAAACAAAGATTATCATATCCATTTTGTGGATTATTGTGAGAATCCATTGAAATGATGTATGTAAAATATTTAACCAAGTGCCTGGCAGGTAGCAAACACTCAGCAAATGGTAGAATAGTACATACGGTTATTATAGTGGTTATTCAACATAAATGTGTCCGTCAGCCAGTCTGGGGAAGTGTTAAAGCTGTAAAAGCCATCGGGCCAGGCACAGAAGGTAGAGTCAGCCGTGGTAGCTCAAATCCCAGACTGACTGGGAGCCACCACACCTGAGGCAGAGGGTCAGAGCTCTGGATTGCGTGGAGCTGCTGCTGCGGCTCCCCCTGGTGCTTGAGAAGTGCAGGTGCCTCTGGCCCCAACAAGAGCCAAGCTTTCCGTAAGGAAGAGAAAATGTCCTGCCTTGTCCAGGAAGCCAGGCTCTTGCGTAGCCTTCAGGGTCAACACAAAAAGCAGTAGGACACAGACAGCAGTAGTACCTCCCCAGGAGTTCTGGACCCCGCCCAGATAGGGCCTTTTTGCCAAACACGGGACTGCAGTACCCAGATCTGAACATGTCACCAGGCAGCAACCCTGAGGCTGAGTGTCCTCTCTGTGACTCAGCGGCATCTAAGACCTTTCAGGAACTCTCCAGCCCACATCTAGAAGGGCAGAGGCTGGGCCTGACCCCAGCTTTTATAAACTCCTGCTTCCCCATTAAGCCTTTGCCTCCTTGGTTTAGGGGTGTCTTCATCTCTGATATAAGATATTCTCCACTCTGACCCCAGTGTATTGGTCCCCTAGCCTTGGACTCCTTTGCCTAAACCTTGGTCTTTCCCCAAGGAACTAACTCCTCATCCACAGAAAGGAGCATGGTCAGTGTTGAGTCTTCACTGCTCGTGGATGCCACCTCAGATGCTCAGAAAACCAAGATCTTGGGGAGTTAGCCCAGTTTCCAAGTTCTAGCTCCACTGCCAACTAGCTGTGCGCTTGTGGACCAGTCCCCTCTATGCTTTGAACTTCAGTTTCTCATCTGTACAATGTTGATTATAATCTCACCTAACCCACAGGGCTGAGAATGTTAAATTAAACAAGATAATGCATATAAAGTGCCAGCACAGAGATAGAGATGGCATGGAGGCCCAGTTAATGTTCCCCTCCCTCCCTAGCTGAGGTCAGGGATGCCAGTAGAAGATTTCACTATGTATAACCTCAGGCCTGCTGGAAACAGTGAACTTAAACAAATATAATCAGTAGCGCTTTCTTTATTGCGGTGGACACTCACTCAGAGTCGCCATGGCAGCTGCCGTTGACACTGGAGGCTGCGTCGCAATGACAGCAGCATCTTAAAAACATCCTATTTCACTACATTTACATCCCAGACCCCCTTTGGCCCTTGTTACCCCAAGCAGGCAAGCGTTACATCTTACAGAGGAAGACCTCAAAACTTAGAGGGGTCAAAGAACTCCCCCAAGGTCTCGTAGCGTGTACACGATGGGCTGGATTTTTAACTTGGATTTGACTGACCCTACCTGACCTTGGGAACAGCAGCTCGTATGAGTTGCCTTGGCCTCCACCTGCCCTTCACAAATGTTTTTGGATTCCTTTTCCCCCCAAGCTCAACCTCTTTCCTATCTTAGCTGCCTTAAGGAGCCGTGGGAGATTCCTGTCTTCCCTTCCACTACCTCCACTGGTATCAGAGCCCACTATTAACACCTGTGTCCATTCCTCAGATTTAGTGATGAAGGGATGGAGGTGATCGAGCGGCTTATATACCTGTATCACAAGTTCCATCAGCTGAAGGTCAGCAATGAGGAGTATGCCTGCATGAAAGCGATTAACTTCCTAAATCAAGGTGAGTGGCGGGGGGATGGAAAGAAGGGACTTTTTCTTTTTTTTGCCAGTGAACACCTGCCCTCATGTTTCATGTCTACCCCCTTTACCCTCAGGACTGTCACACAGAATCTGTCACAGCACATGGGGACCGATCTTGGAAGGCCTGTGCCCCCCTCCTCCTCATCCTGCCCCTCTATAGTGCAGGGCATGGTTTGAATTTTTTCCCTTCAAGCCTAAATGCCACAGCCTCTATAACTCATAGAGAAAGGAAGAGGATTTGCTTTGTTTAGTCAGTTTTAATGCATTTAAACACAGACACCAAGGACAGTACATGCGTCATTTAAAATATGCACGAAGTTTACCAACGACTGAAGAAGAGCAGAGTGACTGATGAAACTATTGGAGATAAGGCCCCTGTGACAGGCTGGCAGAGGTTCTGACGGCCCCTCCAGGGCAGAGTGAGGGTGCACAAAAACACAAACATGCATATCAAGCATGGGTTTTAGTTAGAAGAGTGGTGAATATGATTTAAGGGGAGAATTACCTGCAAAGTGGAGCTTGGTAGCTGCTGGTAAGCAGAGTGTGCAGGAGAATTTGTGTTCTCTTTTTTTTCAAGGTAGCTTGTGAGTGCTCTGCTCTCAGAGTAGAGCTGGGCTGTTTTGCTGCCTGTGATGTTGAAAGTGCTCTGTTCCCATATTCCAGTTTCTTGGTCCCCCTCCTTTGCCCACTCCTCCCTGATCATTGACCAAACCTCCTCCTTCTGCTTCTGCACCATTCATGCATTTATCTGATGTTCTGTGTGCCTCCCTTAGACCAGGCCCTATGTTGAGCATTAAAGACATTTAAATAAATAAGATTGCAGGTTCCTGGCCTCAAAAGTATACATTCTGATGGCACATGATACATTGCTTGAGCCTGAGGGTCGGTGGGGAGATCACTAACTAATTGGAGGAAGAGAAATCTGAGAGCTGGGCCTCAAAGTCTGGGTAAGATTTATATATAGAATACTTATATTCTATATATAAAAAAAGGGTAGGTATGTGTTTATATATATAAATACACTGTATAATATGTATGTTTGAGAAAGAGACTTCTACCTTATAGATATTGCAGGTTTGGTTCCAGACCAAAGTAATAAAGTGAGTATTGCAATAGAGCAAGTCACACGAATTTTTTGGTTTCCTAGTGCCACAAAATTAATGTGTGTACTATACCATAGTCTATTAAGTGTGCACTTAGCATTATGTCTTCAAAAACAATGTATCTACCTTAAAAAAAATGCTTTATCGCTAAAAAATGCTAATGATCATCTGTGCCTTCAGCGGGTCGTAATCTTTTTGCTAGTGGGGGTTCTTGCCTCCATTTTGATGGCTGCCAACTGACCAGGGTGGTGGTGGCTGAAGGTTGAGGTGGCTGTGACAGTTTCTTAAAATAAGACAGCGTGAAGTTTGCTGTATCAGTTGATTTTTTTCCTTCATGAACGATTTCTCTGTAGCATGAGATGCTGTTTGATAGAATTTTACCCACAGTTGAACTTCTTTCAAAATTAAAGTCAGTTCTCTCAAACCCTGCTGATGCTTAATCAACTAAGTTTATGTAATATTATAAATCCTTTGTTGTCATTTCAACAGTAATCATAGCATCTTCACTAGGAGTAGATTTCATCTCAAGAAACCACTTTCTTAGCTCATCCATAAGAAGCAACTCCTTATCCATTAAAGTTTTATCATGAGATTGTAGCAATTTAGTCACATCTTCAGGCTCCACTTCTAATTCTAGTCCTCTTGCTATTCCCACCACACCTGCAGTTACTTCCTCCACTGGAGTCCTGAACCCCTCAAAGTCATCCATGAAGGTTGGAATCAACTTCTTCCAAAATTCTTAATGTTGATACCTCTTCCAGTGAATCATGAATGTTCTTAATTGCATCTAGAATGGTGAATCCTTTCTAGAAGGTTTCAATTTACTTTGCTCAGATCCACCAGAGGAATCACTATCTATGGGCAGCTATAGCTTTACAAAATATATTTCTTAAATAGTTAAACTGAAAGGTTGTAATTAATCCTTGACCCATGGGCTGCAGAATGGCTGTTGTGTTAGCAGGCATGAAAACAACATTAATGTCATTACACATCTCCCTCAGAGCTCTTGGGTGATAGGTGCTTTGTCAGTGAGCAGTAATATTTTGAAAGGAATCTTTTTTCCTGAGTAGATTCCCACAATGGGCTTACAGTATTTAAGAAACCATATTGTGAACAGACGTGCTGTCATTTGGGCTTAGTTCCATTTATAGAGCATAGTTAGATTTAGCATAATTCTTAAGGGCTCTAGGATTTTCAGAATGGTAAATGAGCATTGGCTTCAACTGAAAGTCGCCAGCTGCATTAGCTGCTAACAAGGGGGTAGGCCTGCCTTTTGAAGCTTTGAAGCCAGATGTTGGCTTCTCTTCTCTAGCTATGAAAGTCCTAGATGGCATCTTCTTCCAGTATAAAGCTGTTTGGTGTACATTGAAATTTTGTTTAGTGTAGCCACCTTCATGAATTATCTTAGCTACATCTTCTAGGCAACTTACTGCAGCTTCTTCATCAGCACTTGTCTTACCTCACACTTTCATGTTTTGGTGACTGCATCTTTCCTTAAACCTCACGGACCAACCTCTGCTAGCTTCAATCTTTTCTTCTGCAGTTTCCTCACCTCTCGCAGCCTTCACAAAATTGGAGAGGGTTAGGGTCTTGCTCTGGGTTAGGCTTTGGCTTAAGGAAATGTTGCTGGTTTGATCTCCTATCTAGACTGCTAAAACTTTCTCCATATCAGCAGTAAGGCTGTTTTGCTTTCTTATCTCATGTATTCACTGGAGTAGCACTTTTAATTTCCTTCAAGAACATTTCCTTCACATTCATAACTTGGCTAATGCATAGGAGGCCTCCTTTCAGCCTATCTCAGCTTTTGACATGCCTTCCTCACCTTAATCATTTCTAGCTTTTGATTTAAAATGAGAGATGTGTGACTCTTCCTTCCACTTGAACACTTATAGGTGATTGTAGGGTAATTAATTGGCCTAATTTCAATATTGTTGTGAATAGGGAGATCTGAGGAAAGGGAGAGAGACAGGGGAACAGCCAGTCCACGGAACAGTCAGAAAACACGCCATTTATCAATTAAGTGTATCATCTTACATGGGTGTGGTTTTTGGTGCCCCAAATAACTACAGTAGTAACATCAAAGATCACCGATAACAACCTAATAGTAATGAGAAAGTCTGAAATATTGCAAGACTTACCAAAACATTGACACAGAGTCACGAAGTAAGCAAATGCTGTTGGAAAAATGATACCAGTAATAGACTTGCTTGGTGCGGAGTTGCCATACACCTTCAATTTGTGTTTAAAAAAAAAAAAGCAGTATCTGTGAGGTGCAATGAAGTGAAGCACAATAAAACAAGACGTGCCTGTATATAGAAAAAACAAAACAAAATTGGAGTGACCGGGCAGAACACCAGTGGCCCCCGTAGCACAGCGTGAGTGGAAGCACACAGGAGACCGGGGGTGGGGGTGTCTGCAAGGCTTCTGAATGGCTCCAGTAAAAGACAAATTTAAAGATACTGTGAAGGGTAAATTGGGAAAGGTAGATTATTCAGTCAGTTATTCAGCGTCCCCTGCTGCCTTTTCTGTGCCAGCTGGATATGGAGCTGAGAAAGATAGACCTCAAGGGACTCAGTCTAGTGATTGTCCTTGATAATTTTTCCTTTATCTTATTTCTCTTCCCTTAACCATGGCTTTGTTCCTCCATGTCAGAGAGGAGATCCCCTGTTTGTGACAATGTTTAATAACTTTTCATTGAAAGATACACATATTCAAGGAGCTGGTGTTTCTTCCACATTAGAAAGCCCCACCCATTTCCTGTGTCGTTTTTTCACAGATATCAGGGGTCTGAGCAGTGCCTCGCAGCTGGAACAGTTGAACAAACGATATTGGTACATTTGCCAGGATTTCACCGAATATAAATATACACATCAGCCGAACCGTTTTCCTGACCTCATGATGTGCTTACCTGAGATTCGATACATTGCAGGTAATAATCTGGGTCCTGGGCTTCCAGCCCTTCCTTGCTTTTCTTAGCTTGTGAAGGGGATCAGGAAAGCAGTGTTTTCAAGATGCTGATGACAGGCCATCACCAGCTGAATTAAAGAGGCACTACCCTTGCCCTCAGAGAACTTATGTTATAATGAGAAGTTTGTTGTTTCTTTGTAGGGAGGAGAATCTAACATTTCCTAAGCTCCTGGGATGTGCAGGGTACTTTGTGGCCCGATGTTATTTAATCTCAGAAAAATTTTTGCAAGGCTGGTGGTGATATTATGGCCATTCTGTGGATGGGGAAACAGGCTCAGCGTTTCTCATTAAGGTCATTTCTTGAACTATATACTTTAAAAAGGTGGATCTTATTGTATGTAAACTATATCTCAATTTTTAAAATTAACTTTATTTCATAGGATTGCCTATAGGTTTTTAGTGATCATTTATTTATAGTGATATCTTTAAAACAGTCCTCAAAAATCCTATGTTTGTAAAAGACTTTTTGTTTTGTGGTTCTGACCGTCTTATGAGCTTCTGACATTTAAATAGCTCCATTTCTACATAAAATCTGGCTTTTGTTGTTGTTGCTTTATTTCATTTAGTAAAGATTCTTGTTTATAGCTATATATATGGAGGGGCAGCTAAAAAATGTGACCTCTAGGCTGAACTTGTTCCTGTGTAATTCAGCATTAAATACAATTTTGATGAAAAAAATTTTCAATCTGTCAAAGGAATTTTTTTCTACTTTTTGGGGCCACAGAGTAGTCTAGGAGACGTGAACTAGCCCTAAACTATTGGAATCTTAGGAACATTTTGCTAGTTTATGACTCAGCATTTTCAAAACTGTTCTGCCAAAGTGGGATATTAATCAGGTGCTCTATGAAAGGAAGGGAAGTCAGTAATTACGCCCAGCTCGCTGGGCCGTCAGCCCTAGCGGCACTTAGTCACCTGGGAAGCCTTTACGAGATGTCTGTGCTTGGGTTACACCTCCAGAGATTCAGATTTAACTGGTATAGAGTGGAGCCTGGGCATCAGTATTTTTAAAAAACCCTAAGGTACTGTCAGGGAGAAGAACCATAGCCTCAGATATTTGCAAAGCACGGTAGCACGCTGAGCGCTGTGAGACGTCCTCCGATAGAGAAACCCTTTTTAACCCTGAATTTCTCAATTTACTTGACCCTGTAACCACCCTTTTTTCCTCAGTATTTTTATTAACCCATTATACTTTCTGAAGAACAATGCTTTCTAGAATGCTAGTTAAAGAACCTACCAGGAAATAAAACAGGATATGTTTTTCTTGGTATTTTAGCTCTAAGAGGAATGTAGGAATACCTCTCAGTTTCAGATTCCTTATCTGTAAAATGGGGGGAAAAGTAATTATCATACAGAAATATTGTGAAAATTAAATGAATTAATGCATTTTAAATACAGTGATTATAACTTGCACCGTTACTAGATTCCCTAGGACGCCAAAATGAGTCCGAGTATCAGGACGCTGGCCCAGTCTGTCTCACCTCTGTAATGCTCCCGGCACTTTCCTTGCCCCAGTCACTCAAACAGGCGACATTCTCCCTTCACCAGCCCTAGAGGAGGCAGACACGCCCTTCCCCTAGTGTCCACCGCTTACTCTTCTTTTCCCACCCTTTCCCAGGAAAGATGGTGAACGTACCCCTGGAGCAGCTGCCCCTCCTCTTTAAGGTGGTGCTGCATTCCTGCAAGACAAGTGTGGGCAAGGAGTGACCTGTCCCCAGCACCCCTCCTCCGGCCAGCCACAACGCCTGGGGTGGGCAGGACGGGCTCCAGAGGAAAGAGCCAGAGAGACCAAGGTGGAGGCTGTGGAGCAGCGTTGCCAATTGCCTCCAGAGCAAGAAGAGTGTTTGTTTGTTTGTCTGTTTTTTTTAACCTCATTTTTCTATATATTTATTTCACGACAGAGTTGAATGTATGGCCTTCAACATGATGCACATGCTTTTGTATGAATGCAGCCGATGCATTTCCTTGCAGTTTACAGAATGTGAAGATGTTTAATGTTACAGTGTTGTCATTGTTTAGAGATAGTTCTTTTGTATTTTGAGGGAGAGGGTGGGATGGGGCTGAGATGACTATTTCCATAATGTTGACAAAGATGACTACCTCAGTGGAAAGGGAGGGGTGTGACCATCCCTACTTTTTCTACAATTTCTCAGGAGACTCATGTATCTGTCAGAGAGCAAACTGCCTTTTTCTAGCCGCAGAATTGACAGGTAAAAGAGCACACCGTAAAAGGGAAAGTGGTGTGCGGAGGTTTACCAGGCAAAGTGCGTGCGACATTGGGGGCAGGGCAGGAGATGAGGATTTAGCCATCTCTTTTCTTTGGAAAGCATAAAAGCTGAGAGAGTCAGGCATGATGACCAAATCTAGGTTAGGTGTCCTCCCTCCAAACAAGTCCTCAGGGAGAAGGGTTTCTATTCTCGCACCACTCTGGGGGGCTCCGCTCCCCACCAACCATAGCACCACTGCTGATTTCCGCCACTGTCACTTTTTCTTCCAGGCAAAGTCCTGGCAATAAGCTAAGCCTTGGGGCTTGCCTCCCAGCTCCGTCGGGGCTCACGGCTACCTAGATTCCTCTCCCGGCTCTGCCAAGACCTGCTGTCCTCAGGCTCCTTGCCTCTCCCTTATAAATTTGACTTCCTGTTGGCCCTTTGAAAAAACAACCATACCAATTGTCGTGATCTGAATCCTGGTGCCCACTACTGATTTATTCTCCTTTCACCTTCAAAACTTAGTGTGACAAAGGCCAGACTGCTAATCGAATAAACACTTCTCCTTTGGAACTCCCTGCTTCTTCCCCACCCCATCCCATTCCACCCTCAGGTCTGAATCCAAAACTACACACAGCCTCTTTTTCAAGCAGTAGGAACATTTACGCATCTGCCGACCAGAATTTTTGCCGCTACATTCTGCTCCAGGCTCTCCTGATCTCTCCAGAATGAGTCCAGGCTTCCTCCGAAGAGAAAGCCCAAGGCCCAGAATGGCTCAGTTGCCCCTTAGAGCCTGGCTGACCGAGGCCTCAAGGGCTGGAGTCCAGACCTCCTGGGAGGGAAGGGGGCTTTAAACTACCTCACGTTCCTAAAGGCCTGGCTGCCCCTCTGCAGATACGGCCTGGACCCCTTGTTCTTCTACTACCTGCCCCGCCTAGCCCCGGGAAGTGTTTCTTACCCTCTTGGCTTTGGCCAGCGGTCACACCAGGTCTGTCGTGGAACTCTTTCAGGTGTTTTTCTCTTCTCTGCCTCACTGCAGCAATTGTTGCTGCCTAAACCCGGGTACCTCCCAGAGCCAGTGTAGCAGACAGACCACGTAGCTGGGTACAGACCCTGGGTGGGCCTGAGGGGCCTACAGCCCCTCCTTTTGCCTATTTAGTCAAAGGCCGTTTGCTCTCTTCCCAGCTCAGCCTAGCACACTTACTCAGAGGGCCACCATACTGCGTGCGTATCAGGTAGTCTGTAATTGTGATTCTTCCTTTCCGGTGAAATGTTACGGGTACCAGCAGAGTGATGATTTTGTCCCTTGATGGATCTAAATCTCAGAGCATTACTTGTCAGTGCTGTTTCCTCAACGACTCTTGAGAAAGAAAGAAGAAACGTGTTCCTCAGGAAAAGCTTCAACCAGAATGTTTTTCACATGTCAGTGGGAAGATTTTTGAGTGTATATCTGTTTATTTCTAAGTTCACAACATTTTTGTTTTTCTGATTTTTTATTTAACCAACTAGATAACATTCTTTGGCTACAGGTCAGACTCCAAGCCACTTTCCTCAAAATAGGGGAGGGTGCACATATCAGGGACCCCTTCAAGACAGCTCCTGTGTGCAACATCTCTCTTTGCTAGATCTCCATCGGTCAAGTTATTAGTATTTTTTGAAATTGCTTTTCTCTTAATTAAGCATTTTGCCGGTTGTGTTGGGTATCAAAGGAAAATTGCTCTCTGATGAGGCAAGAACACATCTCTTTAATAATGCAGCATTAAACAGAGCAAGTTGTTAATCTGTAGAGTGGGGGAAAGGTTCTGCAAGTTGCCATTGTACAAATCCATTTTTACAAATGTTTGCAGCAGATTCCGCAGAACAAAGAGCCCATTCATTGCCGAGAGCCCTGCAGAATCGCTGAGCCAAGTGGCCGTGTGTTCTGAGCCGGAGCCTGACCTGTGGACCGCCTTTAATGTCTTCTGCACCCAGTCCTTTTATGACATGGGCTTTTTTTAAACAGGGTAAAGTGACTGTGTTGCGTCGCAAACTCAGGTATTATGAGAGGAAGGTAGGAGTATAGCTAGCAGCGTGGAGACATTAGGTCAGCCACTAGATGTATTTGTGAATTCAGTTTGAAGGACACAGAGAAAGGTTGGAGGGGGAGGTTTGGTGTGTTTGTTTTTTGCCTTTCTTCCCATGTTTGGTTAACAGGTAGCCTTTTTGCTAGTGGAAAAGAAAAAAGTTGTGCGTGTTGTCTCTAATTCCCCTCTCTTCTGTCCTCTCTCTGATCCCCTGCCACCAACAGCACTCACTTTGAGTGAGACTTTTTCCACCATGAAAAGACGACCATGAAAGCTGTGTGGTAAAGGAGAGTCCCGCCTCCTTGCGCTGCACTGAAACATACAAGCCTTTCCCTTCCTTTCCCTTTAGATGTTTCCTTGACCCAAAACAAAAGTTTGGAATCTTGGAACTTTAACTACAGCTCATGCTCTCTGGCTCCTTTGTAGACTTTTGGAGTCTTTCACAAGGTTTGGTGGTCCTGTCCTGAGTCTGGAGAAACTTGCCAGAACCTGTCTCAAAGCACTCCACCTGGCTCAGAGGATCCCCAGGCCCCAGCCCGATCCATAAGTGAGGTGGAAGAGAGAGAAGGCAGCAGGCAGGAGCTTCCCTGCCCTGGTCCCAGATCCAGAGGGGGGAATGGAGGGAACCTAGGGGTCTCCACGACATCACTGACAGTCACCCACTCTACACCATCCTGCCTCGCACCTGCCACCCCTTCTCAGGGAAGAGAGTCCTGCCGTGGCCGGCGTGCCACCAGGTCCTAAGAGCCCTGGGCTCTCTGAGCTAGCTGCTTTGCTCTGCTGCCTGTTTCCTACCTTTGTTTGTTCTCAGTTTCCTGGGGAATGGGACAGATGGAGACAGACAGACAGACCCAGTATGGGCAACATCTAGGCCATGTCCAGAGTTGGCCAAAGTGAAGGGACACTGGCCTCCCAGCAGGACAGGAAGCTGAGCAGTGGTTCCAAGTCTCTAGCTCTGGGCCCCTGGTCTATGTCTTTTTTTCCACGTTGCTTTTTAAATTTTTGCAGTTGTTTTAAGAAATCCAGCCTTTTAGATCAGCCTTTTTATTAAACTTTAAATTTTTCTCTATTAATATTTTTAAAAGTAAAAAACAACCCTCCCAAAAAAAAAGCCAGAAAACAAACCCCCCCAAAAAAACCCTATAAACAAAAAACCCACCACTCTTTCCCGACTTGATCCATGAAGGTCCCCCTGCACTCCCCTCTGCCTTTGCAGTTGATCATCCCTCCCTTTTTCCTCAGCTTGAAGCATCTACGTCCAGTGTCTGTTAAATGATGTTTTATCTGTGTCTCAGGATAAGAAACGGCAATCATTCCACCACGTGCTGGAAACTGGTTAGCCTTGAGGCAAGGGTTTCTAGGGCCACAGCTCAGGGATGTGTATTTAATTACAGGGTCCCCAGAAACCCCTCTTTTGGCTACCACAAGCAACGACTTCTTTTCTGGGCTTGGGAGCCAGACCTGGACAGTTTCCTCAGAGGCAGGGGCCCCCCTTTGGCCAGAGGTGGGCTGCCTTGAGACCTGAAGTCCTCTGGCTGTCCTGCAACATGAGCTGCAGTGGCCCCACCTCTGCCAGCTCACCAGATGCCTGATCCCTCTGCCCAGTCCAGTCCCCGTCTGGCCTCCCTCCCCTGGGCCTGCAGCCCTGAATGAGCCGCAGCCTGCTCAGGAATCCATTGCAAACTCAAAGGGAAGCTGTGAATCAGGCCGGAGCTTGCTCCAAGCCCAAGAAAAAAGTTGGTTTACTGGTGGAGGCTGGTCTTCCAGATCCTGGAGCCAGCCCTGCCAGCCAAAGGATCATTTTTGCCCTTTGGTGACCATTGTTTTCTCTGAAATGTCTTATAAAATAGGTGATAATGTTGTTGACTCAAATTTCCATGAAAAAGAAAAAGAGAAAAAAAAAACTACCTCTTGCGTGACATCCTGGTCGATTCCTCTCTGAAGAATCTTGTGGGAAAAGAATACTGTAGCTCCTGCTCTGTTTACATGTTTCTGTCGGGAAAGAAGCCTCTCCTGCCCTGGGGTGTTGGTGTTTTTGTCTGTGTTGCCATCCCAGGCCTGCGATAGGGGCTTGTGGCTGCGTTGTAATGTCTGGGCCATGTCTGAGGAGACCTTCCCACCTGCCCAGCCAGGGACTGGCCACCCCTTGAAGAGGCCTCCATTTCCTTCCTGTGATCCAAGGCACAGGGGAGTGCCACCTCCCATGACACCACCTTCAGGAGCTCTGGTGGCATGTGCATCCATGAGCCTACCTCTGGGCTGCCCACCCTAGGCCCACTGCTACCCACAGTCCTGTACAGGAATCGAGTAAACAGGATGTCTCTGAGCCCTTGTCCCCAAAGGGCCGGCCAAGGGCTGCCCGCCAAGCTGGCTCCATCAGCCCTGCGTGACCAAATGGTCGTTGGCGGGCTGTGCTACCCAGGCCCTCTGCTACCTCCCACCCTGCCATCTGGCAAGGGATGGGCCCTTTTCTGTGAATTGACTACCTGTGGAAATGTGACCAATTAGTGTGAAATGCATGTTTAGCAAATGTTAGGTACTGTATTTGAACCAATAAATGTGAATCCTTCTGCACATGGCATCTGTTTGTGAAGCGTGTCTGGGGTTCTAAGGAGGGAGGATGGGTTGTCCTAAGGAGCAGGCTGTACCTTCAGACCTGTTGCTTCTGCATGTAGCTGATACCCACCCAGTTCCTACTGCTGAGGGTCTGGCAGAGGGCTGTCTCAGAACTGTTTGAATTGATGAGCCAACACTGACTCAGATGCGGTGCCCGCTCTGTGTGGCAGGCACTGTGTTGGGACTTCTCACAAACCTGAACCACCTTCAACTTAAAGAATTATCACCTCCGTGTCACAGTTGAATAAACTAGGGTGAAATGAGGTGAAGGGACTCAACAGCCAGAAAGTGGTGCAGCTAGAGGAACTGAGTCAGTGGAAGAGGCAAACAGACCTTTGCGGTACAGTGGGGTCAGGATTGTGATTAAGGACATATACGGGGTTGTAAGGGCCCAGAGGAGGGAGTGACTTGCTTTACTCAGGAAGAGCTTCACAGATAAGTGTTGAAGGTGGGCCTTGAATAAGTCACCAGACAGACAGACTAGGTAGAGGGGTCAACAACATGTTTGAAGGCCTAGCTGTGAGTCAGAAACGTGGACTATTCAGGCATAACAAGGGACTGCCATGGCAGGAATGCTGGCAGATGGGAGGTTTTTCCAAGAGTTGATGGAGACGCACTTGGGAGCCTTGAATGCCACATTCAGGAGTTTGGGGAAGGAAAGGGAGCTCCTCGGTGACAGCAGTGTGCTGGTGGGTGTCCTGTCTTATGTCACTGTAGTCCAAGCAGTTAATACCTGTCTTTCCAGAAAATAGATGAGATTTTCTAGAGCTGAGAAAATGGAGGCTCAGAGGTCAAGGGGTGTGTCCGAAGTCACACAGGAAATGTCAGAGTCATGACTTGAACCTAGATCTGCCCAACTCAAAAGCCCAACTGTCCTGAGAGAAGTGACAACAGCTGGGGTTGAGGGGTTATGTGAAGACAGATGGGAAAGACGAACGCTCCTCAGTTCAGGAAGATAAAGGTTGAGTCTGATCAAAGTCTATTAAATCCTCATGTGTGAAGTGAGGGGAAGCCCAGCTGCCTTCCCGTACCTCGGCCTCCTCCAGCACAAGGGACCAGAGAGCCCTTGAGGTTTGAAAGAGATGGTTTTAGAACAAAGGAAGCGCTGCAGAACTAATTAGTAGGCTCTTCCTTGCCCCGCAAGAGGGAACAGATAAGACACAGAGGTGCAAGGAGGAGAAAGAACGTATTTGCTGAGAGCCTAGTGGGTGCCAGGCACCAGGATCAGTGCTGCCCGTGCAGTGTCTCCTCGTTGTAATCCTAACAGTTCTGCAAGGCGTAGGCCTCAGCCTCAGTTTACTCTTAAGCACGTAGAAGGCCACAGACACCGAATATTGGTTTCTCGGAACACAGGCAACCCACAGGTGGCTCCGTGGAAGAAGAAGTAGGAGTCCTGCTGAAAATCTGGGAAATGCTGCGCTCACTTTGCCTTCCTCCCATCGATTCCCAGCCTTCGTTAGTCTATTAAAGGCTCTGAGAAGTCTTACCTGAAGAAGCTTTAATTTTGTATAGCCCAGGGTCTACCGAAAGCATCTGAACATGGAACGTTCTTTCTTCCTGTTAACATTCTGTTGGGACGGTGTTCCATGGAATAAAATTTAAGACACTGCCCTAAATTTCTAAATTGCTACTTAACTAATACTGAGCTTTTGGTTTCTTTGAGTGCCAGGCAATAGCCTGGAAGTAAAGAATAATAAAGTAATTAATGTAAACAGCAAGGCCAAGTGCTATGCTAATAAGCATTTTATGTCCATTCAATTACCGATTCCTCAAGGCCACCCTATGAGGTTGATGTTGTAATGATCCCATTTTACAGATAAAGCAGTGGCCCAGAAAGGGTAAGTAATTTGTCTAAGGTTACTTAACTTGTATGGAACTAAAGGAATGACTGTAAACGAGCACTGATTGACAGCCTGCTATCAGGATCTGCTGAGCCCCTTACTCTTCTGCAAACCCTCTGAGGTGAGATCATTTCTAACTGAAGAGGAAAGAGGGCAGCTCTGGGTTACATCAGAGTCTGAAGCCAGAAACCCCTAGAAATGGTGGGCGGGAGAGGGTGTGGGGATGAGGTTGGATGTGGCTACGTGGAGCCCTCTCCCAGGGATCATTTTCCTCAGGCAGCTTGTTGACATCAACCAGGGGTCTCACCACCTGAGTTCGAATTCCAGCCCTTTTCCTTGTATGTGGCCTTGACCCAGATAGATACCTCTGTGATCCTCACTTTCCCTGGCAGATAAATGGAGAAAACAGTGCTGTGTCTTAGGGGTTTAAGGAGGGCTCACTGTGGCTGGTTCAAAGTAGGGACTCAATGAAGTCATTCCATAAAGGAAGCTGTGTGAGGGGAGCCGTAGCCCCTCATACCCCAATGGCAGAAAACTAGGAGAGCCAGAAGCCGTCGGTCTGACTTTGCCCAGCCTTGGCCTGGCTGCCCACCACGGTTTTAGGTCCACAGTGGTAATCAGCCTGAGATCCTGTGGCAAAAGTGCCCAACAGTCAGGCCCAGGGCTCTTGGAGTCTTGTTCCCTTAGCAACAAGTTTCACCATGGAGACCACAGCCCCATCCTTGCCCTCCCTGCAAGCTCCCTCTCCACAGACCTTCGTGTTCCACACCTAGTCCAAGGAGCAGTGTGGCAACTAAGGAAAGCTTCAAGGAGGCTCTTCCTCAGACTGAGGAGTTTGAGGCACAGCCAGCAAGAGAGACGAAGGGAGCTTCTATTTTTGGTGTCTACTGTATGCCTGACGAGCTTCTGAGGAGGCTACGTATGTGGTCTCATTTGGGTTGAAAACCAGGCACTCGCCCTATTTTACGTAAGTGGAAACTGAGGCCCAAGGAGATGAGATGGACCAGCTCAAAGTGTTGGAGCTGAGACTTGAATCCACGGTTTCTGGTCCAGGAACCCCTTTTTTCTCTGCAGCTCTCCACCTCCACATGCATTGTCAAGACACAGCCTCCAGCCTCAGTCTGGGGAGGGTTGGATGGTTGGGCAAATCCTGTGCCCTAGGCCCCGGCTGGTAGCGCAAGCAACAGCCAGCAGCCTTCTGAGGTCGGGGCTGGGCTCTGGGAGCAGCAGCAGTGGAGGAACTGCACTATTTTAAGCCAGGGCCAGCAGGCCCCATGTGGGCACAGGGAGGGTGGCCTCGGGCCCTTGGCCAGCTTCCTGGAAGTCACCATGGCCTCCCTCCTCTCCCCTGAGCAGCTTTTTGAGGCAGTCACTTCCCTACAAACAGGAAGGAGGCTCTCAGGCTTAGAGACCTCCGACCCCAGCTTCCGCCTTCTACCCCCGGGGCTCTGCTGCACAGGGGAGCCCCCCAGCTCCAGACCCTGATCAGTGTCCATTATCTGGGCTGTCTCTTAGCAGGTGGGTGGGAGGAGGTCTGGATTTCTGTTGCTTGGGCTTCCACAGTTCACCCATTACAAGTCTAAGGCCTCCACTTGCCCAAGATCTCTGCCCTCTTGCCTACAGCCTGATTTCTCATATACATTCCCATTGAGGCTGGCTACCATGAGCC